ATTTATTTTATAGTTCTCAGATTTTTCTAAGATATCCTGTAATTTTTGTCGAAATAAATTCGAGTGTTCCCAATTGTGTTCTCATTCACCACAACTTCATCACGCATTTCTCTAGACCTTTCCTATAAAATCCTTGTTCAGTAAGTTCATACTTATTCTGTACAGTCATCAGGATAGCAACATGGCCTGGATACCACGACTGGGTATCGTAGTAACCGCATGGTGTGACTTCAATATGAGCTCGGAAGTTGCGCTTTTCCCATCCACTTTGAGTATACTCAATATCTACATAGATCGTCCCACACTGCTGTGGAAAGTTTAACAGGGAAGTAAACTATACAAAGACGAAAGTTTAGTGACGTCAAAATGTTTTGGTGATATCGATAATATTCACTTATGAGTGTAATTTATTCGGCCGCTGCAATAAAAAACTACAATAAAGCATGATTCTGAATGCAGGTTCAATGTCAGTTATCGGGTGAATAGTCACAAAGTGTGGTTTACTAAGAACAGCTGCTGCGCTTGCTTGTGACTGAAAGTTAGAGACGTTTATGGCACACTAGAGTAACCTTGCCATCAGCTTATTAGATATGATCAAGAACAGTAATAACTGGTGATGAGTACATCAAAAAATACAATGTCCTTGATGAGTTTCTGAAGCCTATAAAGTTCGTTTTTGTAATGATCAGTATTGTTTCTCTTCCTAACTCTCTACGTTCTGAAATACGTTGATCATCAACAACCCCAGTATTATGATTTCCTGACGAACAAAATTATACACCGTATCCCAAAATCGTAGCATTTTGCAATACCGAATAGTCAGACTACAAAAGTCCGACATCATACTTTTGAGCCACTTCTACGTTGTTGATCTCCACGCTGTGCTCAGTAGTGCACATTGGCTCTTGCGAGTTGTTGGCTTCTTTACTTAAAAATAATAGCTTCTGTTCAAGTGTAATCAGATGTAGACAGACACTTAAGGACTTCAATAATGTTAATGGAATGAAAGGTTATGATTGTGAGTCAAGAGTTGACATTCCTTATATGACAATTTTAATATAGTCATTTTGTTTAGTACTGATCAATCGCTTGTCGCTATCCGTCAAACTACAATACTGGTGGTATCTTCACTGGCGCTCATCAGTCAGTCAATCACACGTCATAGACAGGTGCAAACGGCATTGATTCCACCTTTATAGTCCCGCAATCTCTTCGCATTCGTATAATCTGTTGCCCATCAAGATATATTATTCTTTTTGTTCTTTTTGGAAGTAGATTAACTTGTTTGCCACTTTTGGATAATGCAGATTAATTGTTGACTGTAACATGTGAAACCACCGCAATCTGGGATGCTGTTTCATTTTGTGTTGAACCACTTATCACATTTGGTCGTGCTAACATTCCATCTTTTGGCTTCTGTATCACTACATTGTGACTTCGTTCGTGTGTGTCATATGGGATCAGAAATGTGCCACTAGAATCCAGAATCAGAGAAAATATACAACGAAATAATAGGAGAAATTTCTTCCTATAGTTTTTTGTTTAAACAGCAATAATTGATGTTATGTGAGTATTGTTGTATCAGTCAATGAACCAACTGTCATTGCTGAATGGACAGATACTTTTTGGCTATTATTCGTTCACCATTCCTGGTGAATGGCCAATAGATCAGCTGTACAGAAAAATATTTTATGTTGTATTCAGATTTACCATGATGAAATACAACTCCAAACTGCATACAGCTAATTTAAATTCTTGATTGTGTGTTGTCGAAGTCCTAGACTTGTTAGTATTAATGCTATTGCTTCAAATTCCCATCTATACAATTTGTTATTTAGCGATCATTCCTTGACATTTGCTGAAAATTTCTTCTCATCATTCAAAACTATTACTGTGCAACTTCTTATTCTACTATCTAACGTTACTACATTAATAATTTTTTATTTAATCCATTCTGTAATACATATATTACCGTTTCTCCTTATTCTGTTTCACAAACATACCTATAAAATCATTGACAATACACTTTGCCTTCTTTCCTTTCTTCTTTGAAGCCAACTCAGTATCCATTCAAATACTACAGAATTTATTGAAATATAGTACTGCTACATAAATATTAGTGAGACTGGTGCATAATTGCATTTCTGAAGAAACCCGATATATGTTCGTATCGATTAGCTGGTTGTGAATAACAAAAACAACTTAAGTCCACATGAAGTACAAATGCATCTGTCTCCTATTATTTGGTATCAAAGCTTTACATCATAGGAGTAAAACAACATCGGAGACTCAACTATACTAATTGTCCATTTCCAGGTGAAGCACTTGAAATGTATTGTTTAGTTCTATTCAAGACGAAACAGAAGATCCTTGGTCGACTGGAAACTCACGTCCTCCAACTTCATGGGGGTCTGAAGAATTTAAGGTCTACTTCGTTATCGGTACTGCTCTAATAATAGGCCTAATCCTAAAATTGTAGATTTGTCATGATGTAACTGCCTAATCTATAAGATCTTACGTGGATGTCACATCCTTGTATACACCGACTCATAGTATCGTAATCATCGCCAATATGTGATGAAAAACACATTGAAGATGGAAATAGGACAATTTATTCAATATGCATAAAAGGTTAGAATTGTACACAATGACTGAATTCATTTCACCCGCCTTCTCCACTGTTAATTTTTTCCCAGCGTTGAATGTTGCTAATCCAGTGGCTCAGTTTAGTTCTAAACACGTGCGTTTAAAAAGGACCTCACAACTCTAAAGAAATGTATAGTAGACAATGGAGTTAGAACTTTATTTGTTAAAATTTTATGTCATGGACCTTCGATCTACTTTGACACAAGGCACTTCCCCTCTCATTTGGAATCCTGTTCCAACTGTCTCCTCAGAACGATAGTTTGATCTAGTAATAACGAAGAGTCTAGACGCCAACTCGAACCATATACAGGAATGCAGCCGAGATAAACTCAGCTTTTCGCTGCAAACGTAGACGAAATAGCGCAGCGATCTCAAAGTTTTTCCTAACACTTTTGGACTCACCTTGAAATCCATAATGTAAGAAGACGGGGAGACAAGCGGGTGAACATAAATCTTAGGAGAACTGATTCTCGAACTTTCAATTAATCGTGCTGAAGTAAGTGATAATAAGATGTGATCCTACAAAGACACGAGGTATATTTAGTATGGCAAGCCACCCCAACTCGAACGTATTGCTGGGACATCACCATAAGGATGCCACATGTATTGCAGTTTGACAACACTTTACCAGCAACACCTTCTATAGTTGAATGGCACCCACCCAGTGAAATCAAAAGTCAGGAGCGAGGAGGGTGAAAGATATATCTGATGGGTTATATTGAGAAGTGAATGATCTAATCTGGCTTGTTATCACAGGAGATATTGAGCATGGTGTTCCCGCTCGTGACCTGATGCGGATGCATAACCGAACACCTTCAACTAAGTGAGTCCATTTAACTTCCAAGGCTTACAGGACAATTGATTTTGGGGATTTATTTACCGCTACAATAACCACACTCCTCGGCGCATCAAAGAGAGACGATATAAATGGGGTTTTACTTTTTCCTACTAAAAGTTGTCACATCTCAAACGTTCTCTCAGCCTAAGTGATCACAACCTCCTCAATGGATAACTTCAAGAGGAGACTTGACAAACGGGTACTCACTCACGAATTAACATCTTCCTGTTTGATCAGTTGAGTTTGATGCGTGTTACCACAGTTCTTATGTATGTGGTTAATTTCCCTGTTCGTTTCTTTTCCTTTCAATTACTCATTGTTGCAAATCACCAGTCAATTATTTTATTAGTTACCCCTGAAACAATCGTCTTCTCTTAGCACTTGAATTGTCAGTTTATTATTTTTACTTTTCGATAGACTCTGGATTCACGGTCCCTTCACTCCTGAGACATATGCGCTCACTCAAACCACAAATAACTACCGAACTCATTGACTTAGTGCAACCGAGTGGTTAGATTAACACCCATTAGATATAACCAATTACCTGGAGCTATATCAAAACGACAAAAAAAGGCACAAAGTAATCTACTGATTCATACAAGCTTATGACAAAAATGTTGAATACCATAAAACACACGCCTCTTGAGACTTTGGGGTATACTTAAATCAGTTTCGTCAAGAACCTTTCAAATTGTATTGCTTGACAAGAAGTATCGATCAGGTGGGTCGAAATACTCTTACAAACATTCAACATAGTTTCTCTACTGGATGAATGGAAAGAAAATTATGGTAATCAACCAGAAAATAAGCAAACGTGCCTCGAACTCGTCGACAGTGTAAGATCATCTACGTTGATGATCTATGTCAAATGATTGGAGGCCTACTAGAGTTAGACGAGAATGGTGACGAACCAACTAACGCTGATGTCACACCTCGCGATCAGCACCTTACATGGATTGCCCCCATCGACGTAACAAGGGGCCATGGATGCTATAGAGACTGTACAACACAAAGGACGTTATTACAAGAATATATTAGTTAAGGTACAACCACGAAAATACAGAACTGAAAGAACAACCACTGCCGCGTGGGCCAGTCCATGGCGTATGATTCATTGATGCGCGTTGACTATCGTTGACCTTGACAGGGATCGACGATCTGTTCGATATTCAGTGACATTTCACCGACCCTACAACAGTTAAAATACACAAGACAGAGGTTTCGTTTAGCTAATAAGTAAGAAAATAACATGCAGTATGTGCATGAATGCATGAATTTCGGCGTTTTCTAAAATATAAAGTTCACATTATCCACACACAATTCACTTAAGCTAACCTTAAAATACGCCACTGATTTAAGGCTCTTCAAGGTCATTGAAAGGAGAGGTATCTTCGGTTCTAAGCTTTGTAACGGTAATGAAAATCATTACATGCAACATTAATAATGTGTATTTGTATTTCTCATTGCAGGACAACGAAGAGTGAATGCACTGGAAGAAGAAGAACAAGCCCTACGCCGTCTGAACCTGCAGAATAACGAGTAAAACTATTTTGTAATAACTTTCCCCTTTTGTACTAAAAACCGCGTATTTTAATTTTAAATAGATCGGCTGTACCAGCACACCGTGTTCTCACTTCAGACGCACTTGTCGGTCCTGACTGTTGTGTTGCTGTTTCAGGTCGCTCCTGCTCCCAAGTAAACGTCGAAATACAACGTGCTACAGCTTTTAAAAGCTTGTTAAACAATATATTTCTAGTTTTTATCCTAAGGTTGTCTTGACCTTAGAGTTTTGTCTTTGCTGATTGTTGTCTGTTGCTTCGCGCAATAAATGTTAGCATACTGTGTGCGCTAGCTGAGTCTTCGACTCGCCTTTCCTTTTGTTCCGTTTTCCGGCACCTCACATGCAGTACCGAATCCATACTAAACTACGCCTAGGAGGGGACATGAAGCAGTATGAAGGTTGAGTAACCCTGTGAGAGTAATTTCGTAAATCTACATTAGCGAGTTCTTTTATAAAGACTAGCCTAGCCTGAAATAATGGAATCCTGTATCCATATACGCCACACACGTCCCGCGGGACGTGATACTCAACACAGTTATAGCTGTAAATGATTTCGGAAATGTATCAACTCAAAGACTAATACATGGCTTTTGACCTTCTATCCTTCAAAAACAAACTTTGACAGGTTTAAAAATATTGCACAGCTCTTGTATAGAGCGTCAAATTCTATTCATTTATTTTATATACACGTATACTGATTGGAAATTGTCAAGATACGTTTACACAGTTCTGTCTCTCAATTTATATATTGTGGTATTTATACATACTAAACCATATTAACCTATTTATTGCACTGTATCATAGTATATGATATCTTTCCTTTGATAGATCGAGAAGATTCGAAAATCACAGCAATTTTTTCATTATTTACCTTGTGAACTTCAGATTCAAATGTGAGTTGCTTCACACATTTTGTGTATAGTTTTATTTGCTCGCCTTGCCGTGGCATTTTTGTTTTGTTGCTCTTCAGGGTTCTAAGAACGCAGAAATTATTTTAACTAGTTAGTTAATAGCAAACTTTGGCCTATTCTAGTGTACGTATATGCTTTGGCCTCAGTGTCATTGACTTCGAACGAATTCTGCTGGAAATCACGTAAAATTAATAACGAGTCAAAACAGTATTTCTGAAATTTCCGCTTTTTCTGAAGCATCTCATATATATTGAGTATTTAACTAAGGTTTCTTTATTAGTCCAAAGTTTTAATTAGGGTTAGGTTTTAACAAGAAATCACTAAAACACGTACATAGCCTCTGCCACACAAGTCCTACTCACTGCCTTCTCGTTAAGGGGGTATTATTTACGAAATTGAGAGGACCAAAAGCGAATGTCTCGCGCTTTAACCGGGTTGGTGGACACGGAGGGTCCACCTAGGGGAGTTGGCAAACCCTGATTCCAAACCAATGGTGCACATGGGCTCCAGTATCCTGGTGGAACGAATGGCGAATGAACCTGTCATTGGTCAACGGCTACCATGGGACTGCATCTCCTCACGATGCTCCACTGCCTTGTGGATCAGACATTCAGGTCAAAGGCTCCGGGTGTGGCCCCCTAAGAAAACCACCTGCTTCAGTCTGTGCACCTGGGCAGTATCACAGCCCCCACACAAATCGAATGAGATTTGTGAGGCACATATTTATCTGATGCTTCCTTGTACCAATATTTATGTGTTTAAATAAATAAATAATAAATTCAAAAATGTATACGTCAAAAATACTTCACAACTGGAAGTGACCAGCCGCTTCAAAGAGTATTGTTCAAATTTAGTTGCTATTTGGGTAGCATCATCGACCTAAAGATGACAAGATGATTACGAAGAGTATGTTGCTATTTCAAATGATGCTTTTCATTTGATTGATGTCAAATTAGCCATATTTGTCAAGTCAGTCTATTTGTTGTGTGTTTTCAAATGATCCTGGTTGTCAAATACGGTTGTTGTCAATATTTGACACCGTTGGGAAGGAGCGGCATATAGTTTAAAAGGTATGATGAAATGTGGTTGTTTTCAATAACCTCTTATTATGTAATCTTTTGTGATCCTGGTTGTGGATAATAAGATACTGTTTACATTGACTTGAAGTGTTTAAGAATGTATCAGATTTTCTAGAAATCTTTAAGAATAGTGGCGCCTGTAACTGAAATGTAAACAATAATTTCTAGTTGTAAACGGTGGTATGGCAACTTGAACTGATGTACGTACGTACGAAGTTCTACGTTGTGACTGACTGAGTTGTAAACGGTTATAGTGATCTTTCTAATATGCAATGGGACAAACTTGATAGACTAAACGGGTACTAAATAACAGTTATGTGATTATCCATAGCGCGATAGATGAAGAAGTCTTGTAATAAATTCTGGTGTATTTGCAGACACAACTTTCTTACAAATCTTTTCTCTTTTATGTGGGTGTGGAATGCTAACGTGTGTTTAGTATTAGTCCTCCAGTCTATTTGGTATGCATATATCCTATTTCGTATTAGAACGCAATAGCTTGTAGTTCGAAATAACCCTATTCAGTCGCAATACAAAATAAGTTGAACCTGGATATACGATTACAGAATTATTTTCAATATCGCGCATTGAATTTGGGTGGTAATACTCTACTCTCAATTTATTACTCCTACTTAAGTTATTTTTCGCATCTTTAATAGCCGTCCATTTTAATGTCGCATAGATCAGCATTATCTTAGGTAGTGAACTGTCATTAGACATAAAATTTGATTTGTGAGATTCACGACTGTTAACCAAACTATTTGAACATCTTTATCAGTAGATACACGCAACTGTTGTTTTTGTTTAGCTGTCACCTACGCATTGATAGAAAATGCTAATCAAGCTTTGATCCATGTCTTGATTCCGTATAATTTCGTTTTCATCTTATTATTTACTTTAAAATGAATGTAAAAAGTGATTAACACTATAATTGTGTGTTTATGTTAGTCACCTTTCCATAGACAATGCTTCTTTACGTAGGCTGTGCATTTTCAACCTCTATCCCTGATTGATTAAACAACAATTGTAGGGGGGGGGGCTGGCACATTTGAGCGGTCTCGGAAACTGAGACGAGTATGGATACATCTGTCCCTATCCCCATGAGCCGAAGGTCGTCTAGCATCAAAATCCATGTTTGTACGAAAAGTAGAGGCAACAATATAGTTGTCTTTGGCGCTAGCGCGTGCTAGAATTTTGTCTGCTATGAGGGCCACCTTGTTCAGTGGGGTGTCCTCGAGCAGGGCCATGAGTTGGTTAGATACTAGCTGGTAATGCTTCGAGCCATAACTCTGACTATTTCGGAGTCTGCTGTCGAGTTTCCTGCAAGGGATTGCAGGCGCGTGAGGTGGTGGCTCGGCTTAGCATCACCCATAGGGTGACGTGCTTATAGAGTCCTCAATCGTTCCTCTCTTGATGGGAGGAAGTGTCGAAGGATGGCATCCTTAAGACGGTCGTAAACGTTCGGAACGTTCGGATTGAGGACAACCTCACGAACAGCAGTTAGGTGATCCCCGGGCAATGATTCCAAAGCGTAGGCGTACTTTTGCCTTTGGTTGGTTATGCGGCGGATCTCAAATTGAGATTCCAGTGCCGCGAACCAGACTTCTGGATCATGAGGGATGAAAGGAACCGGTCGAAAATTAATAGCCTGTACCTCGGAGTCTATTATATTTATACTATTCTTATCGTTATCCACCATAGTAAGTTGCCAAAATATTATATATTGAAAATATCAATACGAATATATGCAACAGAAGTGGATAGATAAACAGACTCACCGAATTGATCTGGTTTGGAAAATTGGCCAAGTTTGAATCGTACTCGATGAATTGGATTACCAGATGTGGTTCACCAGATGTTGTGCGTGTTCCAAAATACGGCTCACCAGTTTGTAGTGAGTATCCCAAATACGGCTCACCAGTTTGTAGTGGTGATCATAGTCTGTCCTCGATTCGACAACCACTACAAACTGGTGAGCCGTATTTGGGATACTCACTACAAACTGGTGAGCCGTATTTTGGAACACGCACAACATCTGGTGAACCACATCTGGTAATCCAATTCATCGAGTACGATTCAAACTTGGCCAATTTTCCAAACCAGATCAATTCGGTGAGTCTGTTTATCTATCCACTTCTGTTGCATATATTCGTATTGATATTTTCAATATATAATATTTTGGCAACTTACTATGGTGGATAACGATAAGAATAGTATAAATATAATAGACTCCGAGGTACAGGCTATTAATTTTCGACCGGTTCCTTTCATCCCTCATGATCCAGAAGTCTGGTTCGCGGCACTGGAATCTCAATTTGAGATCCGCCGCATAACCAACCAAAGGCAAAAGTACGCCTACGCTTTGGAATCATTGCCCGGGGATCACCTAACTGCTGTTCGTGAGGTTGTCCTCAATCCGAACGTTCCGAACGTTTACGACCGTCTTAAGGATGCCATCCTTCGACACTTCCTCCCATCAAGAGAGGAACGATTGAGGACTCTATAAGCACGTCACCCTATGGGTGATGCTAAGCCGAGCCACCACCTCACGCGCCTGCAATCCCTTGCAGGAAACTCGACAGCAGACTCCGAAATAGTCAGAGTTATGGCTCGAAGCATTACCAGCTAGTATCTAACCAACTCATGGCCCTGCTCGAGGACACCCCACTGAACAAGGTGGCCCTCATAGCAGACAAAATTCTAGCACGCGCTAGCGCCAAAGACAACTATATTGTTGCCTCTACTTTTCGTACAAACATGGATTTTGATGCTAGACGACCTTCGGCTCATGGGGATAGGGACAGATGTATCCATACTCGTCTCAGTTTCCGAGACCGCTCAAATGTGTCGGTTCACTTAACCATATGCAGCTGGATAGGAAAAAAAATGTGTGTAGATGATAATCGTCATATGTTATATTCAATGTGGTTTGAAAGGGCATAAATAACTACATTTACAGAATTTCATGTTGTAGGTTGCACTTGTTCTTACTTCTCGTTCTGAATCCTGTGTTCTTCGAACATGTTCATGGAGAACGTCAATGGGATCATTTTGTGTTTAGTCTTGAGTGGCCACCTACTTATTGTTTCATTCAAACGGTAAGGTTGTATTTGATCTTTTATATTTTTTTGAATGTTATTTTGATTGTTAAATGACTATTGTTATAACTTTTCTCAATATTGATTGGCAAAGTATTTTGGAGCATTTCCGAAAATTGAATTAACTCTCAAGCTCATTTTTGATACTGCATCAATGATTTATTTCTTGTAGCTATCAATAATAAATTGTAATTAGTGCTGTAAGATCAACTGTCCCTTTGAACAAATCACTTTGTTTATTGTACCGATCGGATTCATTCTTTTGTTTATTTGTCCTTATTTTAAATCCTTTGTATTTCTGTGTTAGCAATTTATTTATTTATTTAAACACATATATATTGGTACAAAAGGGCACCAGGTACATGTGCGCCACACAAAATAATGAAAGTAGGTAGATAAAGGATGAAAAGATAAGGCGGGCTGAAATGTACAACCAGAAGATTCTTTCAGTTAGGAAAGTTAGAACCATTCTTTATGTAGAAAGTAAAAGAAGGTTGCAGCAGGATCGCCACTGGTTTCTATTCTGAGCCATATCTGATAACGTCTCTAGCCACTGTGTTGCACCATCTCTCGGACCCCAACCAAGGAGTCGTGAAGGACCAACGGAAGCTAGCCCTTTGCAGCTCTCTTTCATGCCACGACACCATGTCATACACTGACCTCCTCTCCGCTTTTTCCAACCAGTCCCAGGGTCGGCAAATAATGCACGACGTGGAAGTCTCTGGGACGACATTCGTAAAACATGTCCAAGCCACCGAAGTCGGTGTTTCAAGATGGTGACACCAATTGAATTATCGTCTCTGTGCCCGAACACACGATGCCGAACCTCTGCATTACTAACATGGTGTTGCCACTGGATGTCAGCAATCCTTCGGAGACAACGATGATCGAACACAGAGAGACGTCTAACATCCTCAACTCGGAGAGGCCAGGTTTCACAAGCATAGAGCAAAACTGCTCTCACCGACGCGTTGTAAATCCGACTTTTTACAGCCAGACTAACATCACGAAGGCGCCAAAGATGGCCCAGATTGGCATAAGCCGATCTGGCTTTCCTTATACGTGCATCAACCTCATCACTCACGCCACCACCAGCACTCATGTAGCTACCTAGATACACGAACTTCTCAACTACTTCGATCTCCTCACCATCCAGGGTGAGTACAGGATGAGAATCCTGCCAGTCTTGTAGAAGTACTTTGCACTTGGAGGGTGCAAAGCACATGCCGTACCTGCGGACACTGATTGCCAACTGATTAAGTGCTGATTGCATGCCTTGGGCATTATCGCACAGTAAGACAATATCATCCGCATACTCAAGGTCGAGAAGTCGTTCTCCAGGCAACATATCCACACCGCCATTACTTACATCCATCAGAGCTGTTTCTAGGATGTCGTCGATGGCAAAGTTGAAGAGGAATGGGGAGATCGGGCAACCCTGCCTAACCCCACTGCTCGAATGGAACAAGGGAGAAAGGTGGTTGTATGCCCTCACTCTGTCTGAGGTGTTCGTATACAGGGCCTTTAAGATGTTAATGAACTTCTCAGGCACACCCTTCTTCAATAGACAATCCCAGAGAACAGTCCTGTCCAACGAATCGAAGGCAGCCCTGATATCAAGAAACACTACGATTGTTGGCCTGCGATAAGTATGACGGTGTTCTGACATTTGGCGGAGGGTGAAGATGTGATCAATGCATCCTCGACCAGAACGAAAACCAGCCTGCTCCTCGCGAGTCAATCGTTCTCGGGTTTTAAACAACCTACGAAGAATGATAGAAGCCAATAGTTTGGACGCAATCGGAAGTAGACTTATCCCCCGGTAGTTATTGCAGGAACAACGTGAACCCTTTTTAAAGATAGGGACGACTATTGACTCATTCCATGATGTTGGAACACTTTCTTGCTCCCAAACCTTTCCAAACAACGCAGTCAGTTCCTTAGCCAGAAAGTCACCACCATCTTTAAAAAGAGCCGGAGGTAAGTCATCTGGGCCAGGTGATTTATAACGTTTCAAGAGTTGGAGTTCCTTGCGGACTTCCGCCTCGTTTGGTGGATCAGTCGTCACCGGCCATGGGGAGCAGGACAAGCTGGTTGATGTTGCCGGAGCAGCAGGCCAGTTGAACTGCCCTTCGAAAAATTCCGCCCATCGTCCAAGACGTCGACAGATGTTAGTGATTGGCATCCCGTCATCCTCGTAGATTGTTTCACTCACACCAGACTTCTTGCTGCCAGTGGCTCGGATGAGTTGGAAGAGCTTCCGGCAGTTACCAGATGCAGCTGCTGCTTCCATCTCATTAGCACGCTCCGACCACCAGGCTTCCCGGTCCTTACGCAAGTTTTGCCCGATTTCATTAAGTAACAGCCTTCGTTTGTGGTCAAACTCACGGTCACCCGGAGTAGACCGACGGGCTTCCATCAGTTGTAAGGAGCCAGAAGAAACCCAGTGCTTGTAAGCGGGACGTTTCGCGAAGCCGCAAGCGGCTTTACTCGCCATTTTCATGGCGTCGTGAAGAAGCAACCAATGCTCATCTATACTTTTCGGTGGGGTGTTAGCTAGCCTAGAGGCTAGCTCCGCTCGATACTTACTTGCAACAGGAGTTGCAGCCGGTTTACTAATATCACTCCGTTGGTGGTGGTCAATCCTTCGGCCACTGAAAAGTAAGGTGAGATTGGCGCAGACCAGGGCATGATCAGACTCCAGATAGGTACTCCAAAAGGAGCGGCAGTCTTGTATACAACCACGCCAGCGGTAGCTGATCGCGATGTGATCAATCTGAGTCCAGGCTTGGGATGCAGAGGGAGGACGCCAGGTGGCACACCGGCGATGACTGTGCCGGAAGTTAGTGCTGGCCAGAAACAGGTTGTGGTCTGTGCACAGTTGCAGCAAACGGTCCCCGTTATCTGTCCTGCGACCAACAAGTCCCCATCGCTCACCTAAACGACTCTCTTCTGTGCCTAGACGCCCGACCTGTGCATTCAAGTCTCCGGCTAGTACTACAATATCTGTCGAACGCGCTTTCTGGAGAACTGTTAACTGATGGTAAAACTCATCCTTGATTGCATCCGGGCTGCAATCTGTCGGGGCATAGGCGGAGATGACGAAAAGACACCGTTTCTCACGCCGATTTCTTCTCACTTTGATGGAACTTTCTAATCTAACAGCACATAACCGACTGTTAATGGGGATCCAATCGATTAGTGCTGCCTCAGCCCTAGCGCTTAGTGCGACACCAACGCCAGCAAGACCAGACGAAGATGCCACAGGGTCCCCGGATAAGCGCACGTGGAACAAGCTTTTCGAGGCGACAGATGGAGAGCGGATTTGTAGTACTTCACTAGAGTCTTGAATACGGGTCTCGGATAGACAACAAACATCAACATTAAGACCTTCCATAGACATAGCCAGCCCTATCTGTTGTCCGATCTGCATTAGTGTGCGAACGTTGAAGGAAGCCAGCTTGAACAGCGTACGCGGTTTCAGAAAGACTGCCTCAGTATTCATTATCGGTGGAAGCATTCACTTTCAACCAGACAGTGACTGGAGATCGTCTAGATAGGACAGATTTTCCACCAAGAGCGAGCTGATGCATAAGTTGAAGAGTAAGGTTACACAAATTGGGGGTAAAAGGGGGTGAATTAGCGATATGGTAAGTAATAATAATAATAGTAATAATAATGATAATAATAACGTAATAATAACGTAAAGCCGCTTGCGGCTTCGCGAAACGTCCCGCTTACAAGCACTGGGTTTCTTCTGGCTCCTTACAACTGATGGAAGCCCGTCGGTCTACTCCGGGTGACCGTGAGTTTGACCACAAACGAAGGCTGTTACTTAATGAAATCGGGCAAAACTTGCGTAAGGACCGGGAAGCCTGGTGGTCGGAGCGTGCTAATGAGATGGAAGCAGCAGCTGCATCTGGTAACTGCCGGAAGCTCTTCCAACTCATCCGAGCCACTGGCAGCAAGAAGTCTGGTGTGAGTGAAACGATCTACGAGGATGACGGGATGCCAATCACTAACATCTGTCGACGTCTTGGACGATGGGCGGAATTTTTCGAAGGGCAGTTCAACTGGCCTGCTGCTCCGGCAACATCAACCAGCTTGTCCTGCTCCCCATGGCCGGTGACGACTGATCCACCAAACGAGGCGGAAGTCCGCAAGGAACTCCAACTCTTGAAACGTTATAAATCACCTGGCCCAGATGACTTACCTCCGGCTCTTTTTAAAGATGGTGGTGACTTTCTGGCTAAGGAACTGACTGCGTTGTTTGGAAAGGTTTGGGAGCAAGAAAGTGTTCCAACATCATGGAATGAGTCAATAGTCGTCCCTATCTTTAAAAAGGGTTCACGTTGTTCCTGCAATAACTACCGGGGGATAAGTCTACTTCCGATTGCGTCCAAACTATTGGCTTCTATCATTCTTCGTAGGTTGTTTAAAACCCGAGAACGATTGACTCGCGAGGAGCAGGCTGGTTTTCGTTCTGGTCGAGGATGCATTGATCACATCTTCACCCTCCGCCAAATGTCAGAACACCGTCATACTTATCGCAGGCCAACAATCGTAGTGTTTCTTGATATCAGGGCTGCCTTCGATTCGTTGGACAGGACTGTTCTCTGGGATTGTCTATTGAAGAAGGGTGTGCCTGAGAAGTTCATTAACATCTTAAAGGCCCTGTATACGAACACCTCAGACAGAGTGAGGGCATACAACCACCTTTCTCCCTTGTTCCATTCGAGCAGTGGGGTTAGGCAGGGTTGCCCGATCTCCCCATTCCTCTTCAACTTTGCCATCGACGACATCCTAGAAACAGCTCTGATGGATGTAAGTAATGGCGGTGTGGATATGTTGCCTGGAGAACGACTTCTCGACCTTGAGTATGCGGATGATATTGTCTTACTGTGCGATAATGCCCAAGGCATGCAATCAGCACTTAATCAGTTGGCAATCAGTGTCCGCAGGTACGGCATGTGCTTTGCACCCTCCAAGTGCAAAGTACTTCTACAAGACTGGCAGGATTCTCATCCTGTACTCACCCTGGATGGTGAGGAGATCGAAGTAGTTGAGAAGTTCGTGTATCTAGGTAGCTACATGAGTGCTGGTGGTGGCGTGAGTGATGAGGTTGATGCACGTATAATGAAAGCCAGATCGGCTTATGCCAATCTGGGCCATCTTTGGCGCCTTCGTGATGTTAGTCTGGCTGTAAAAAGTCGGATTTACAACGCGTCGGTGAGAGCAGTTTTGCTCTATGCTTGTGAAACCTGGCCTCTCCGAGTTGAGGATGTTAGACGTCTCTCTGTGTTCGATCATCGTTGTCTCCGAAGGATTGCTGACATCCAGTGGCAACACCATGTTAGTAATGCAGAGGTTCGGCATCGTGTGTTCGGGCACAGAGACGATAATTCAATTGGTGTCACCATCTTGAAACACCGACTTCGGTGGCTCGGACATGTTTTACGAATGTCGTCCCAGAGACTTCCACGTCGTGCATTATTTGCCGACCCTGGGACTGGTTGGAGAAAGCGGAGAGGAGGTCAGTGTATGACATGGTGTCGTGGCATGAAAGAGAGCTGCAAAGGGCTAGCTTCCGTTGGTCCTTCACGACTCCTTGGTTGGGGTCCGAGAGATAGTGCAACACAATGGCTAGAGACGTTATCGGATATGGCTCAGAATAGAAGCCAGTGGCGATCCTGCTGCAACCTTCTTTTACTTTCTACATAAAGAGTGGTTCTAACTTTCTTAACTGAAAGAATCTTCTGGTTGTACATTTCAGCCCGCCTTATCTTTTCATCTTTTATCTACCTACTTTCATTATTTTGTGTGGCGCATATGTACCTGGTGCCCTTTTGTACCAATATATATGTGTTTAAATAAATAAATAAATAAACGTAAATTTTCTTGTTTATAATATGAGCAGGAATAGAATCGTCAATAAAGTTCGTCATTTCATTCATTTGTGTGTGGGCTGTGATACTGCCCGGGTGCCCAAACCGAAGCAGGTGGTTTTCTTAGGGGGCCACACCCGGAGCCTTTGACCTAAAGGTCTGATCCACAAGGCAGTGGAGCATCGTGAGGAGATGCAGTCCCATGGTAGTCGTTGACCAATGACCGGTTCTTCCGCCATTCGTTCCATCAGGAAACTGGAGTCCATGTGCACCATTGGTTTGGAATCAGGGTTTTCCAACTCCCCTAGGTGGACCCTCCGTGTCCACCAATCCGGTTATAGCGCCGGACATTCGCTTTTTGTCCTCTCACTTACGTAAACAACACACCCGCCACGAGAAGGCAGTGAGTAGGACTTCCCTGGCAGAGGCTATATATTCGCTGGCCATATGAGAGCATTTCGAGAGGGAGAGTAGACTCTCCCCACTCTCGGCCGTACCAGGGCATTTGGGGGGCACTCATCATGTTGATGTGAATTTTTTCCATCATAGACCAGTGGATATATATGCTAGATGCCAAATCGTTACTAACCTTCTATTCATGTTAAAAATTGATCAGAATGATTTAAGTGTACTAATTTACATATTACTTAACTTAAATTTATTTATACTTTCAGTCAGTTTATCATAATCAATGTAGATTTATGTTCAATAGTGTTTCATTCTCTCTACCTGTTTCTTTGTTAACTGTTCACTTATAATATCGCTTCATTTGACATTTTTCTTCTCTATCTTTACTCTTCATATATGTCTAACTCATTTCAATAGATTAAATTAATATTGTAATGGTTTTAACGTTTGTTTGCCTTTATTAGTTAAATTAAAGTTTAAAGTTTATTAACAATAAACTCGTCTTTTTTTTTTTTTAAAGTTACCCTTAATCAAATTAACAAGTTTATTCATTCTCATGATTTTTAGATTAATGACGTGAATATAGTTAGTATTTAATCATTTTGATCATTTCACGATTTTTCTTATCTTGTCAGTTATTTCATTCCTTCTTTTTGTTCAGTGTAAACTTCCTTACAGTATCAACGATTTCAATATTCATGGACTATGGTAAGTTACGGATAGCATCTTTCTGCACATTTCCACTTGTAAACTAGAACCATTTACTTGTTTATCTGGCACCCTGATTTTCCTATTATTAATATTTTTGTTCCATGTTAATACTGTTACTTAATTGGTCTATTGAGTGGTTTGGTCTTGTATGTATATAAATGAATGTCTGAAATATGATAAAGATCTCGGACTGGTAAATATTGGTCTTGCGTTCTTCATCGTTTATCGTTCAGGGCTAGTTAGTATTGGGTCAATTTTTCAGGTGTAGAGTATCAATCTTCCTCATCCTTGCTGCGTATCGTCTGCATAAGGTCATTTACTCTGATGGTTATTATATTTTTGTGATTAGAATTATACGATTGCCATACTGCTGCTAGTTATGCTTTCGAATTCTCTGGGATTTATAATCGTATTTATCTTGATAATTTAATCGTATTTGTTTTGATTTGATATGATAACTTGTAGTGATCCACGTATATGTCAGACTCTACTGTCCTTGTGGCTGTCATTACTACATAACTGCTTAAACACATTCAGATGAATGAGTTTTGTCAGCATTTTTATCAAACTGCACTATGTCATGTAGTTATAAGAGTCTTCGAGTTATTGATAAATCTTTGAAATGTTACGTAGTTGTCGTCTATGATTGACATCTGTTTTTTTCCAATTAAACTGACATTACACCGTAAGCTTTGATGCGAATAGTGGTATTGTATATATGTTTCTAAGGTGTAGTCCCTACATCGTCAAACGCATTGCTTAGTGGGCTGTTTGAATGGAAAGATGAAGACTTTATGGTACTTTTATTTTTACAATCGTCCATAGTTTCGTTATTAATTAAATAGTAATTATTATCAGAAGGGGTTTTTGTGGAGATTTAGTAATTTCATAATTGAAAGCGTTAGTCAATTGAAGCTAGATTATCATGAAAAACCTGGATGCACTGGACGGCCGTTTCGTCCTATTGTGGGTCTCCTCAGTGGCAGTACGCATCCACGACCTCGCTTCGCGAGATTCGAACTCACGACCTACCAGTCTCTTGTGGATTGGTTGGAGTTAGACATAAACACCATGGGATGCCGGCTCAGTTGTCTATCGGTCAATTGCTCTGGCGCGAAACTGGTAGGTCTTGAGTTCGAATCTCACAGGGTGAGGTCGTGGATGCGCACTGTTGAGGGGTCCCACAATAAGACGAAATGGCCGTCTAATGCTTCCAGGTTTTCCCTGGTAGTCTAACTACAACTGACTCACATTTTCAACCATGTAAAAAGTAATTGTATTATTTTTCAATATGTGTTTTCGTTCAATATAAATTCTGTTATTGTTAGATAAACTATCTTTGTTAATTTCATCACATTTTGCTTAATCTATATATTTTGGTTTTGAATTTAGGCCAAGTATATGGCCACATATAGAACCGAAAAACTGTTCAAACAGAACACCTTTTAGAATTGAATTAATCAAGGTAAATTTATGAAATCAATTTGTCGTATTGTTTAATCAAAACTGTTTTTTCTTGCTGTTTTACTCACAAACCTTTGTTCCATAATAATATTTACCCCCAAATGCCCTGGTATGGCCAAGAGTAGGGAGGGGCCACCCTCCCTCTCAAAATGCTCTCACTTGCGAATACAGTCTCTGCCAGGGAAGTATTACTCACTGCCTTCACGTGGCATTACAGTTGTTTACGAAATTAAGAGGACAAATAGCGAATGTTCAGAGCTTTAACCGGGTCGGTGGATGTGGAGGATCCACCTAGGGGAGTTGGAAAACCTTGATTCCAAACCGATGGTGCACATGGGCTGGCTCCAGTATCCTGAGGGAACAAATGGCGTATGAACTTATTGTTAGTGACTTGTTACCATGGGATTGCATCTACTCACGATGCTCCACTACCTTGTGGATCAGATCTTTAGATCAAAGGCTCCGGGTGTGGCCCGCTAAGAAAACCACGTATTTCGGTCTGTGCACCTGAGCAGTATCACAGCCCTCACACAAATCAAATGAGATTTGTGTGTCGCATATGTATCTGGTGCCCCTTTGTACCAATATTCATGTGTTTAAATAAATAATTAATAAATATATTTACAACCAGAACGATTTAATTCAAGTGTACTGCCCAGTGACCAGATTAAATGTCTATTGTTTATTCCGGATTGAACTCCCGTCGATGTCAATTCTCGCATGCTTTTGTTTTCTTGTATGGAAGGTGACGATGAAATGATGCTACCGGCTGTTACTACAGAATCCCAATAACTAATAAACCTGTAACAGGATGCAGCTACGTTGGAGAGCAAAAGCACAATCATTTAGGCATTCTATTCATTATATTAGCACACTTCGAGGACGAAGGGGTATCAAGAGTAGTGATTATCACTGCAAAATTTTCGAACCGACTAAATATTGGTGTAGTGGTACGTGAGACTTTTCAAAAATTTTCCGCTACAAAAATCAAAAAATGCACCATATGTAATATAGTCAGTCATAAAGAATCAATCTGTTGAACCAGAGAAAGTTGGAGATCAATATCAATGAAGCCTGTTAAAAAAACATAAGAACAAGTAAATAAACAGCATATATGCTACACGGGTAAAGTATAGCTGAATAAAGTAGGTATATGGGACTATTAGTTAGTGGTCTCAAGAGGTACTGCTCCCTCAATCATGTGGAGTTGTAAATTCACAAGTATTACTCCTATCTTGGAATCATTCATTGACAGCTTCTAATCCAACTTCATTTATCTAATTTCGAGCAACCATTTCTGACAAAATAGTTTCCGTTTATACCAATGCTACGGAAACTTGATGGCCAAATTAATTATGTTTCATTGTCACAGAAGCTATCATGGGTATTTATAATGTATGTACCTCAGTAGCTAAATGTGGATTCATACGGTTGGTTTCAAACTTTACTGTTTTGTGATATCTGGCCACACTACGTAGTTGTACAAATCTGAGTAGGTAACTACACATTGCTGTGCCCGCGTATGGTTTCATTTATTTTAAATCTTCAGAACTAAAATTGTGTACCCTTGATAGATATTTGTCCTTGAACAATTAAGAAAGAGAATTCTCAGTCTTTTAAAAGTAATTCTTATGGATATTGTATAGTTTAGAAAAGAATACGTAGTTTTCAAAGTGTTCAGTTGTTTAAAAACTAATGTTTATTGAGAGGTGTTTAACGTAGTCCAGTTGAAGATGCTTTATTAAATGTAATTCATTTACTAAGTACTATAGTTCTAAGCTTTAAATGAACTTCAAATCTCTAACCAACTGGTTGATACACGGGGGAGCCTTAACTACTAAGTCTCTGTTACATCAAATATACTCACTTATAAGCAAAGATCGATAGTGGCTAGCAGTGGAATCCAGTTTGACGCGCGTTTCGTCCTATTTGAGACTCGTCAGCTGGATGTACCCGCATCTCAAACTTGTTGATGTTCACTGTGGGACTCGAACCCAGTACCTTTCGCTTCAAACACCATCGCGTTATTCACTCGGCCACTGAGTCCTGGTAGCAACTTGCTTGTGCGATGGGGTGAAGTTTAAATGTATTTAGTATTGTTTATTTGAATCTTCTCACTTATGTTTCAGTGTTATAACTCTTCATGTATGCGCTATTTATCCCTCATTGATATTAGATGGCTTATGAAGGATTAGACAGTTTGATGAAGTGACATCTTGAAGAAGTATGAGAAAGTAAAAAAAACAAACTAGACTGATTCGAATACTTCAGTTTGTAGATTCAATATGTTCATGTTTTGTAATATTTTCTCTATTTTGTAGCCTATTTATAATGATTTACAGAAACAATGGGCAAATCTGATTGATTTTGACAATCCCGAAGATTTTTGGTAAGGTTCTATTTCGCATAAGTGTACTGATTCTAACAAAAACTTTTAGTGATCATAGAAATATTAGGTTCATAATGTAGTCTGATTATCTTGGATCTTATTATTATACAGAGTCCTCCTACCACTTCTCAAATAGATTGGAGATCATTTCGAACTCGAAATGAAAGTGGGATAGGTTGTTCAAATGCTTATCATCCTTTGACTTTTAAAACACACGTTATTCTAGTGTGAATGGATTCTGTTGTATAAATTGAGAAAATTTTATGTTATAAGCCAAGGTTACTAAGCTATTTTGTTATATATTCTAGACTAATACCTTTCATGCTTCTAAATTGAGACCTATCTTATTGGTCTATACGATTATCAATACTTAATATATCGAACTCATTCCAGTATAACTTAGTTGCCCCAAATGCCTTGGTATGGCCGAGTGGGAAGAGTCAGCTCTCCCTCTGGAAATAATCTCACACGGCCACGCGTAATATAGCCTCTACCAGGGAAGTCCTACTTACTGCCTTCTCGTGGCGGGGGTGTTGTTTACGAAATTAAGAGGACAAAAAGCGAATGTCCGGCGCTTTAACCGGGTTGGTGGACACGGAGGGTCCACCTAGGGGAGTTGGCAAACCCTGATTCCAAACCAATGGTGCACATGGGCTCCAGTATCCTGATGGAACAAATGACATACGAACCAATCGTTGGACCCGTATTCAAGAGTCTAGTGAAGTACTACAAATCCGCTCTCCATCTGTCGCCTCGAAAAGCTTGTTCCACGTGCGCTTATCCGGGGACCCTGTGACATCTTCGTCTGGTCTTGCTGGCGTTGGTGTCGCACTAAGCGCTAGGGCTGAGGCAGCACTAATCGATTGGTTCCCCATTAACAGTCGGTTATGTGCTGTTAGATTAGAAAGTTCCATCAAAGTGAGAAGAAATCGGCGTGAGAAACGGTGTCTTTTCGTCATCTCCGCCTATGCCCCGACAGATTGCAGCCCGGATGCAATCAAGGATGAGTTTTACCATCAGTTAACAGTTCTTCTCCAGAAAGCGCGTTCGACAGATATTGTAGTACTAGCCGGAGACTTGAATGCACAGGTCGGGCGTCTAGGCACAGAAGAGAGTCGTCTAGGTGGCCGATGGGGACTTGTTGGTCGCCGGACAGATAACGGGGACCGTTTGCTGCAACTGTGCACAGACCACAACCTGTTTCTGGCCAGCACTAACTTCCGGCACAGTCATCGCCGGTGTGCCACTTGGCGTCCTCCCTCTGCATCCCAAGCCTGGACTCAGATTGATCACATCGCGATCAGCTACCGCTGGCGTGGTTGTGTACAAGACTGCCGCTCCTTTTGGAGTACCTATCTGGAGTCTGATCATGCCCTGGTCTGCGCCAATCTCACCTTACTTTTCAGTGGCCGAAGGATTGACCACCACCAACGGATTGATGTTAGTAAACTGGCTGCAACTTCTGTTGCAAGTAAGTATCGAGAGGAGCTAGCCTCTAGGCTAGCTACCACCCCACCGAAAAGTATAGATGAGCATTGGTTGCATCTTCACGACGCCATGAAAGTGGCGAGTAAAGCCGCTTGCGGCTTCGCGAAACGTCCCGCTTACAAGCACTGGGTTTCTTCTGGCTCCTTACAACCGATGGAAGCCCGTTGGTCTACTCCGGGTGACCGTGAGTTTGACCACAAACGAAGGCTGTTACTTAATGAAATCGGGCAAAACTTGCGTAAGGACCGGGAAGCCTGGTGGTCGGAGCGTGCTAATGAGATGGAAGCAGCAGCTGCATCTGGTAACTGCCGGAAGCTCTTCCAACTCATCCGAGCCACTGGCAGCAAGAAGTCTGGTGTGAGTGAAACAATCTACGAGGATGATGGGATGCCAATCACTAACATCTCCCGATGTCTTGGACGATGGGCGGAATTTTTCGAAGGGCAGTTCAACTGGCCTGCTGCTCCGGCAACATCAACCAGCTTGTCCTGCCCCCCATGGCCGGTGACGACTGATCCACCAAACGAGGCGGAAGTCCGCAAGGAACTCCAACTCTTGAAACGTTACAAATCACCGGGCCCAGATGACTTACCTCCGGCTCTTTTTAAAGATGGTGGTGACTTTCTGACTAAGGAATTGACTGTGTTGTTTGGAAAGGTTTTGGAGCAAGAAAGTGTTCCAACATCATGGAATGAGTCAATAGTCGTCCCTATCTTTAAAAAGGGTTCGCGTTGTTCCTGCAATAACTATCGGGGGATAAGTCTACTTTCGATTGCTTCCAAACTATTGGCTTCTATCATTCTTCGTAGGTTGTTTAAAACCCGAGAACGATTGACTCGCGAGGAGCAGGCTGGTTTTCGTTCTGGTCGAGGATGCATTGATCACATCTTCACCCTCCGCCAAATGTTAGAACACCGTCATACTTATCGCAGGCCAACAATCGTAGTGTTTCTTGATATCAGGGCGGCCTTCGATTCGTTGGACAGGACTGTTCTCTGGGATTGTCTATTGAAGAAGGGTGTGCCTGAGAAGTTCATTAACATCTTAAAGGCCCTGTATACGAACACCTCAGGCAGAGTGAGGGCATACAACCACCTTTCTCCCTTGTTCCATTCGAGCAGTGGGGTTAGGCAGGATTGCCCGATCTCACCATTCCTCTTCAACTTTGCCATCGACGACATCCTGGAAACAGCTCTGATGGATGTAAGTAATGGCGGTGTGGATATGTTGCCTGGAGAACGACTTCTCGACCTTGAGTATGCGGATGATATTGTCTTACTGTGCGATAATGCACAAGGCATGCAATCAGCACTTAATCAGTTGGCAATTAGTGTCCTCAGGTACGGCATGTGCTTTGCACCCTCCAAGTGCAAAGTACTTCTACAAGACTGGCAGGATTCTAATCCTGTACTCACCCTGGATGGTGAGCAGATTGAAGTAGTTGAGAAGTTCGTGTATCTAGGTAGCTATATAAGTGCTGGTGGTGGCGTGAGTGATGAGATTGATGCACGTATAAGGAAAGCCAGATCGGCTTATGCCAATCTGGGCCATCTTTGGCGCCTTCGTGATGTTAGTCTGGCTGTAAAAGGTCGGATCTACAACGCGTCGGTGAGAGCAGTTTTGCTCTATGCTTGTAAAACCTGGCCTCTCCGAGTTGAGGATGTTAGACGTCTCTCTGTGTTCGATCATCGTTGTCTCCGAAGGCTTGCTGACATCCAGTGTCAACATCATGTTAGTAATGCAGAGGTTCGGCATCGTGTGTTCGGGCACAGAGACGATAATTCAATTGGTGTCACCATCTTGAAACACCGACTTCGGTGGCTTGGACATGTTTTACGAATGTCGTCCCAGAGACTTCCACGTCGTGCATTATTTGCCGACCCTGGGACTGGTTGGAAAAAGCGGAGAGGAGGTCAATGTGTGACATGGTGTCGTGGCATGAAAGAGAGCTGCAAAGGGCTAGCTTCTGTTGGTCCTTCACGATTCCCTGGATGGGGTCCGAGAGATGGTGCAACACAGTGGCTAGAGACGTTATCAGATATGGCTCCTAATAGAAGCCAGTGGCGATCCTGCAGCAACCTTCTTTTACTTTCTACATAAAGAATGGTTCTAACTTTCCTAACTGAAAGAGTCTTCTGGTTGTACATTTCAGTCAGCCTTATCTTTTCATCCCTTCTCTTCCTACTTTCATTATTTTGTGTGGCACATATGTACCTGGTGCCCTTTTGTACCAATATATGTATTTAAATAAATAAATAAACAATCGTTGGTCACCGGCTACCATGTGACTACATCTCCTCACAACGCTCCACTGCCTTGTAGATCAGACCCTTAGGTCAAAGGCTCCGAGTATGGCCCTCCAAGAAAACGACCTGCTTCAGTTTGGGCACCCGGGCAGTATCGCAGCCCCCCCCCTCACAAATCTCATTTGATTTGTGTAGCATATGTATCTGGTACCCTTTTGTATCAATATTTATGTGTTTAATGAATAATAATAAATAAGTTAGTTAGTAAATCTTAGTAACTTTCCTTGTACTTTTATCATATTATCACATGGGTTCACATCTTGATTATTGTATTTTAAATTGTAGATTGTTCTATTAAGTCATAGGTTTTTTTTCATTAAATACATAATTTGTAAGTACTTAGTTTATCGTTACTACGTACAAAATCATATATACAATTATTAATAATAGTGGTTAAGTGCTCTGGCGCGAGACTTGTAGGCCCTGGGTTCGAGTCTTGCGAAGCGGGGTCGTGGGTCAGCACTGTTCAGGAGTCTTACAATAGGACGAAACGGCCTTCCAGTGCTTTCAGGTTTTCCACGGTAGTCTAGCTTCAGTTGACTCACGCTTTCAACTATGAAAATTTATTCAATTTATTTATTTGAACTCATAAATGTTGGTACAAACGGAAACCGAATACATATGCGCCACACAAGTCACTTGATTTGTATGAGGACTGTGATACTGCCTGCGTGCACAGATCGAAGCACGTGGTTCTCTTAGGGGACCACACCCCAAGCCTTAGACCTAAGGGTTTAATCCACAAGGCAGTAGAGCAATGTAATGAAATACAGTTCTATAGTAGCCGGTCACCAACAATTGGTTCATACGCCATTTATTCTTTCGGGATCTCGGAGCCCATATGCACCATTGGTTTGGAATCAGGGTTTTCCAACTCCCCTAGGTGGACCCTCCGTGTCCACCAACCCGGTTAAAGCGCCGGACATTCGCTTTTCGTTTTCTTAATTTCGTAAAAAATAGTAATACCGTGAGAAGGCAATGAGTAAGACTTTTGTGGCAGTGATTGTATGAACGTAGCCATGTAAGCGCATTTTTTGAGGTAGTGCTGACTCTCTCCACTCTCGGCCGTACGAGGGGCGTTTGTTTAATAGTTAATATTTTTCCTTGACATTTTTTAGGAAACATGAATGGAGTAAACATGGTGTTTGTGCAATAAGTGATCATCCATTTATATCAAATGAATTGGATTATTTCAATATATCACTTGCAATAAAATCGAAAGTGAATTTATTAAGGTAAGATTTTGTGTATATCAATGTTTAGTGTACAATCGTTATTTGAATAAAACTGGATGATTTGTCAAATGAGAAGAAGGAGGGGACTACTGTTCATGGTTCGCTTTATGACTCGTTAACGAACGATTGATAAATGATCCATGAACACGAATTCATCGTTTGATCTCATCTATTCTACTTAAGCTAATTCAGTTTGGGCGACGGGGGAAATAAAAGTTAAATACAAATATATTTCAGACATTTGTTTGCTCAAACAGACTTAAAGATGGGAGATGGAGAGGGTCGACATTCCGACCTTATGATTAATAGGTGAAGGAGATACAAGTAAGTATACGGACATATGCTTACTAGCATGGATGATCATGGTTTCAAGTAAGTAGATGGCAGGGGCAAACATACGGCTGATAGGACAAATACAAGAATTAGAATAATTCATCTGCTTAAAACTTCTAAAATATCATGTTGGCGTTTGATAACAGAGATTTCCTACACTGTGTGACAATATAATGTCCATCATTTGTCCCAACACTTAATGATTACCAGCATAAGAGTAAATTAGAATAAGAATGATTTTCGCCAGGTAAAAAAAAATAAAATCGATTCAAGGAGCCATCAATTGTTGAATAGAAATCCTACTAGAAGATGCAGATTTCTTGGTTAGTGTTAGAGCAGAGCTGTTAGGTGACAAAAACGCCTTTATATTATTCATAGTTACGCAAATTCACTGACTTTTTTCCAGTTATTTAAATCTTGTTTCTCAACCTTCTGCTTCCAAACATTCTGACCCTGATTACAGTATATACTACTCATGTCGACATAAGTAGCACACACCAAAAATAATGGTGCATTGACTTCGTGTTTTTCATTGTAATTACTAGTAGGAGTTTTTCACTAATCAATTTAAACAACAGTTTGAAAATCATTTGTAATTGGAATAATCTCTTCACTGTAATTCATGGGCTAACTTTCGCTAGAGAATCACTGATAACTAGGTGGAACCCTGAAAAGCTGTCTCGCTGACCAAGTCAAATTCTGTTTACTTCATATACTTAGATAACGCTACTGTAGCATAAGGCAAATGGGTAGAAACGTTTATTATGGTGTTTATATAATGCATATACATAGCCTTTGATCATCCATTCGTAATTTGAATATATGTTCTGCAATCCGAACTGTTTTCTTGTCTGGTCTTCAAGTGTTCTGCGTATATCGTAGTTGTAATGTACTGAAACTTTTCCCTCCGTTTGACGACTATGACAGTTTCGACGCCACACTCCACTACATACTACTCATAAGCAATCTTGTTAGTGGCGTCTATCGCACTACTACTACTATTCTTACCAGTGCTTTAATATTCATCTTATTAATTTCCTCCCAGGTTCTACTTTGCTTATAGCTAACTGATTAACTGACTGAGTCAAATTATATAGAATCATTGATTTTGGTCGTGAATATTCTTGTAGATCACCTATGAAGAATGATCATACCTACTTGTAAATATCATCGCCCGGTAATATAAATAATAGTGATATGTTTGATCAGATAAGGAAGGTGTGTATGATGTAAATTTCATTGTCATTATACTATTATGAATCATTTGAGGTAAATACCCATATATTGTATGTTATCTTATATGATAAAAAAATAATCTATGGTGTTTATATCCTAACGACAACATGATTAAAAGCTTTTAAGAAATAATTTATATCATTTAATTGTTTGTTATCTGAAGGGGGTTTTGTGGAGATTTAAGTAATTTTATATAGTTGAGATCATGAAGCAATTGAAGCTAGACCACAATGAGGTATTTCCTGGAGTTCTAGTGAGAAGCAGTAACCAATCGAATTCAACTAGGTCCGTTGTAGAGATATCAACTCACTGAAGACAATCGGTGAATGGTTGCTCAATTTCATGGATTGGTTGAAGTTAGACATTAACACAGTTGAATGCCGGCTCAGTGGTCTATCGGTTAAGTGCTCCGACGCGAGACTGGTAGGTCCTGGGTTCGAATCTCGCTTGCGAGGCGGGATCGTGGATGCACAGTTGAAGAGTCCCTCAATAAGACAAAACAGCCATTCAGTGCTTCCAAGTTTTCCATGATGGTCTAGCTGCAATTGTTTATTTATTTATTTAATCACATACATATTGGTACAAAGGGCACCAGATACATATGCGCCACACAAAATAATGAGAAAGGGGGGAAGATGCGTATATATAAAAGAAGGAAAAAAAGAAAAAGAGAAGAGTAATGATGGGGGGAACTGAAATGTACAACCAGAAAAGCTCTCTCAGTTAAGAAAGTTGTGACCACTCTTTATGAAGAAAGTAAACGAAGGTTACAGCAGGCTCGCCACTGGCTTCTATTCGGAGTCATATCTGATAATATAATAACTGTGTATATATTTTTTTCTCTCCTTAAAGTTGACTAAATTCATCTTGGAAATAGTGATTATAGTCAAGACTGGTAGGTCCTGCGTTAGAATCTCGCGAGTGCGGGATCGTAAATGAGCACTGCTGAGGAGTCCCACAATAGGACTAAACGGCCGTCCAGTGCTCCCAGGTTTTCCATGGTTGTCTAGCTTCTATTGACTCATGACTTCAACTCTGAAAATACATTTTAATATTTTGATTATTTCAATTTATTTATCACCTTTAATTTCGCGTATAAAGTTGACTACAGAATTCATATAAACATCTTATCATATTCTTCTTTGGTTATTTGTTGTTTCTTTTCAGTCGTCTTGAGTCAGTCAGCATTACACCAAATAATTTGGTTACCTTAAAGGTTAGTTAAATATCGTTCAGAAGGGGTTTTGTGGAGATTTCAGTATTTTCATAGTTGCAAGCGTGAGTCAGTTGAAGCTAGACCACCAAGGAAAACCCGAAAGCACTGGACGGTCATTTCGTCCTATTGTGGGACTCCTCAGCAGTGTGCATTCATGACCTCTCCTCTCGAGATTCGAACCCAGGACCTAGTAGTCTCGCGCCCCACAACAGAACGAAACGGCCATCCAGTGCTTCCTGGTTTTCCTTGGTGGTCTAGCTTCAATTGACTCACGCTTGCAACTTAGTTTAATATGTTTATATTTTAAAAAGAAGATATATTATGGATGAGGATTTCATCTTTCTATGTAGTAATAAGGTTTTAATAACTTGAATAGATACACATCTGCCAATTTTTATTTTCCTTATAATCCATCCATGGACTGTTAAAAGTATAAATGTAGTACTAGTAAATCACAAAGTGTAAGTGCAGATACAAATTTCTGCCAGCGTTGTAAAATGTCTTTCATTTGAAAATTACAAAGTACGCTCTATATGTATGTATACCGATTACCAACTGATAAGGTGCGACCCCAATAACCTGAGTGCCATTACACAATTAGACAATACCGTCCTCATACTGAAGTTTCTCCAGGTAACATCCACCACCAATACCCACCCTCATCAGAGTTGTTTCAATAATGTTATCTGTAGGAAATTTCAGGAGCAATGGTGAAATTGGACAATCCTGCTTAACATAACTGTTTGAATGTAACCATTTAGAGAAATGCTTGTATCTCCTCACTCTATTTATGTCCTGCTTCAGCCTCGGCACCCGGGCAGTATCCTAGCCCTCACACAAATCGAATGATTTATGTGGCGCACATCTACTTGGTTTCTCCTTGTACCAATGTTTATGTGTTTGAATAAATGTAATGAGTGTGTAATGAGTGTTCGACATGTTTATTAACGTCTCCGATACACCCTTCTTCAACAAGCTGTTCCACAGTACATTCCTGTCCAGGCAATTGAAGGCGTCCCTGTTATATAAAGCACCTGAATGATTGTTCATTGCTATAAAACGTGGCGGTGAGTGGAGACAATAATATGTCCACAACCTCATTGAAAACTAGCTTGCGCCTCACTAACCAGTCACTCTTGTTGAACAATTTGTGAAGTATGACATAAGCCAGTAGTTTAAACACACTCAAAATTGGCTTATCATCCTATTTTTGTTGCATATTATGTATAGACTGTTTTGACAGACGAAGATAACACTCGCCTCATTTCAGGATGTTTGAAAAATATTTGTAGTGATATACTACTGTCTTGAATATGGGTCCCAGAAATACATCAAACATTGACGTCAAGACTTTCCAAGGACTGCCGAATTTTTCCGTTATTCTGTCTGCATCCGTGTACGAATATTGAATACGCCCAGTTTAAGTGATACACATGAAGGCGCGAATCGACGAAGGAAGAGCAGCATATCTACAATTGAAGAACATCTGGAACTCAAAACAACTGTCAACCAACACCAAAGTCACAATTTTCAATGCAAATGTCAAGACGGTTCTACTGTATGGGGCGAGAACTTGGAGAACTACGAAAGCTATCATCCAGAAGACACAAGTATTTATTAACAGTTGTGTACGCGAAATACTTCGGATCCGTCGGCCAGACACTATCAGCAACAATCTACTGTGGGAGAAAACAAACCAGATTGCAACGGAGGAAGAAATCATGAAGAAGCGCTGGAAGTGGATAGGACACACATTGAGGAAAGCAGCCAACTGTGTCACAAGCAAGCCCTCACCTGGAACCCTCAAGGCCAGAAAAGAAGAGGATGACCAAAGAATACAATACTCCGAAAAATGGAGACAGACATGAGAAAAATGAACAACAAACGGACATAACTAGAAAGGAAGGCCCAGGACAGAGTGGGTTGGAGAATGCTAGTTGGCGGCCTATGCTCGATTGGGGGTAACAGGCGTAAGTAAGTGATACACGTGAGTTTAAGGGAACTCATTTCGAACCTTTGGGTAGCTTTCAGATATTCAGCTGGTCATGGGTTTTAAATAATTGAGACGAGCTGTTTAGTGGACTGAAAATAAAAGTTAACATAGAATGAGAAAGAAGTGAAATAAAATCTAGTAAAGTAAAAACGGTTTTTGTCATGGTGGAGTACAGTTAGATTTTGAGCTAGTGAGGAATCAGAGCAACTATATCATTCTCCTCATTATTTTAAACTATCACATTTGTGTCTAGATTGACGCCACTAAGTATTAAGTAACATGTTGAGATTTTATGAAAAACTTACTGTTCAAGTAGATTAATTAGTGAATCTGTTTTAATATTAATTGAATCCGTTTGTTTTTTAAATATACGGTACAAATGAAAAATAGTCATATGCCCTACTGCGGTCGAGAATGAAGAGTCAGCTCTCCTCGGAATACTCTCACATGGCCACGTGAATGCAGCTACTGACAGAGGAGTCCTACTCATTGTGTTTTCGCGGCATTACTATTGTTTACGAAGTCAGGAGGGCGAAAAGCGAATGTCCGATGCTTTAACAGGGTTGGTGGACACAGAGTCCACCTAGGAGAGTTGGAAAACCTTGATTCCAAAGTAATGGTGCATATGGACTCCAGGGTCCTGAGAAACAAATGGCGTATGAACCTATTGTTAGTGATTGGTTACAATGGGACTGTATCTCCTTACGTTTCTCCACTGCGTTATGAATTAGATCTCTAGGTGAAATGCTTGGGGAGTGGCCTCCTTAGAAAACAATCTATTTCGGTCTGGGCACTCGAATAGTACACTATCCCTCACAAAAATCGAATGGTTTGTATGATTCATATATATTTTGTGCCTCATTGTACTGATGTTTATCTGTTTAAATAAATAATTAGTACATTTTATCTGAATAAAATAAACTGTTGAACTTTTGATTAGTTGTAGTAAAACATAAAGTTACTGAATACTCAACTAATGTGTACATAAAGTTTCCAGGCTGTTATATCTCTGAAATTATATGGGCGATAAAAATTAACCCTGATAATCATGTGTCCATTGATTGGCATGTCAGTGATCTGCACGAATATAATATCTCCCAACCATTCACAACAAATATTCGTAATCAAAGATGGATAGTGGCTAGCAATGGAATCCAGGACGCGCGTTTCGTCCTATTTTAGACTCTTCAGCTGAATGTACCTGCATCTCAGAGTTGATGTTCACTCTGGGACTCGAACCCAGTACCTTTCGCTTCAAACGCCATCGCGTTATCCACTCAGCTACTGAGTCCTAATAGCCACTTGCTTGTGCAATGGGGTGAAGTTTAACTTCACTTAGTATTACTTGTTTGAAAGGTACTGGTTTCGAGTCCTAGAGTGAACATCAACTCTGAGATGCAGGCACATCCAGCCGACGAGTCTCAAATATGACGAAACGCGCGTCAAACTGGATTCCACTGCTAGCCACTATCCATCTTCGCTCACAATGCTTGTGAAATAAGGCTATATCGAGGCAATAAGCACAGTATGCACATATGCCAATAAGAGACTAACCAGTTGCAGTCCTAAACATCAATGGGAAGATTCAAACAAACAATACTGAATCAATTTAATCATGATATTGTTCTGTTAATATTTTGTATATTATATTGTTATTTTACTTAAGAAAAAACTCTTTCAGTAGTTGTCTTGTTTCCTGTTTTCTGTTCATTCAGAAGCGTACACTGATAATTCAGTCATATAGGTAGAAGTGTTTCAGGTATCGTAGTCATACGTATCATTCATTCATGGATCTGTCACTGATAATTACCGACATCAGTTTGTCAGTCAGTTATAATAAACATAGAACCTAGTACATGTATACGTTGACTCAAGTTGCCATACCACATTAGTTCAACAAGATTAATGATCTATTTGTAGTGATATTGAGAAAGATTGAACATTGAAACTGTTTCAATGTATGAAAACATACTAGAAGAAATATGAAGGTTTGTATGGAGAAATTCTGGAACTCAAGGTCTAGGGACAACTAATTATACATGTATCTATGCTATTGTGATTGATTTTAATCCATGTCATTCAACGTTTTCAACTATTGATCGCAATTATCTTTTTTTGTTTCAACCAATCAGTCTACATCTACCAACATGACTCAGACCGGCTGTTCATGACATCATAGATATTAATGCTACTTTTGATGTGATCGTCTGTAGTTTTCTTTCAACCTACCAGCTCGCATTGCCTTTCGTGATGGGCGATAGTCAGGCATATGTAACATTGATAGCACTAATAGCAATGATCGTATTCTTTATGTATTGAAGAACTTGTTTGATACATAGTCAGTCAGTCAGTCACAACGTAGAACTTCGTGCGTACGTATATTAGTTCGAGTTGCCATAGCACATTAGCACAGAGATGCAGTTGTCGATTCAAATCCCATAGTGGGAGAAATAGTAAGAGTATAAGCAGTAATCGGAAAGACTAAGGTTTGAAGATGTTATTGAAGGAGTATAATTCAGTGAAATAAATTTGGAAAGAGAAAAAAGATAGAGGCATGTAGAATTCAGAAGATTAGAATTTGGGAGAACACAAAGAATGGATGCACCAGCGCCGTTGCAAACGATTTTAAGCCATGTCATTCAAGGTCTCTAACCATCGATTGCTATCATCTCGTGGACCCCAGCCAGGTAGTCTACACCTACCAACATGGCTCGGTTCAATTGTCAGTGACTTCATGGATTTGTGCCATGTTTTGTTCTGGCCTCCCCGAGCTTTCTTCCAACCTACTCCTACACCATGAAACATTGCACGTTGGGGCAGTCGGTGGTTGGTCATACGTAGCACGTGTCCCAGCCATCTCAATTGTTAAACATAAGTTAGTTTTTAAATTCCATAGGATTGTCAAGCAAGATTTGATGGGATTACGTAGTTAAATCTTCTATTGATGCTGAATTCGTGATTTATCCCTTGTTTTTTTTATTTATAGCGTGATATGTTGCTTGATCAATTGAAAAATTTATTCAGTGTGAATGTGTTAATATATTGTTCTTTGCGAAAGGTAAGAATGCTTTATACAATGTACAATGGTTTCTATATTACCAATTAATGAATTATTATCATATTAATAGTTGAATTCATGAATTGATCTAAGCTAGACTACTATTGAAAACCTGGAAGCATTAGATGACCGTTTCATTCTAGTATGAGACTCCTCAGTAGTGTACATCCACGATCCCGCATAAAGGACTGGAACTCAGGAGCTTTGATTTTGCACGCGAACGCTTAACCTCTAGATCACTGAGTGAGGGCATCCAACAGTGTTAGTGTCCTACTGCAATTGACTTTACTCAACCCTTCATCGATTGTTTGAAGGGGATAACTGTCTCCAGCTGACACGAATTGAACTTTATGAAAACTATCAAAGTGAAATCTAATGAGACAAAAGGATCCAACCTTTACAGCGTTGAACGTAGTTGATAACGGATAAACAAATTACGGAGAAAGTCCGAGTTTCGGACTGTGTTCAGTTAAATATCAGTTAAAATTCTTACACTTTACGCCTATCCAGAGTCTATGTATGAAGTCCTAAGGAGTGGTAAACCTGGGACCACCGAGTAAGTAATGCAGTTGTTAGGAAACGGGTACTAGGTGAGGATGGCAAATCGATTGATGAAATAGTGAAACGTCATCAGATGAGATGACTGGGACACGTGTTACGTATATCCAACCACCGACTGCCCCAACGTGCAATATTTTATGGTGTGGGAGGTAAGTTGGAAGAAAGATAAGGGCGACCAGACCAAAACGTGGCACAAATCCATGAAGTCACTGACTAGTGGACTGAGCCATGTTGTTAGGTGTAGATTACCTGGTTGGGATTCGTGAGATGATAGCAACCGATGGTTAGAGACCTTGAATGACATGGCTCAAAATCGTTTGCAATGGCGAAGAAGCATCCACTTTCTGTGTTCTCCCGAATACTAATCTTCTGAATTCTTCATGTCCCTTTCTTTTTTCTCTTTCCAAATTTATTTCACTGGATTATACTCCTTCAATAACATCTTCAAACCCTAATCTTTCGGATTAATTATTTTACTCTTACTACCTCTACCACTATGAGATTTTAATCGACAACTGCATCTCTGTACTAACGTGGTATGGCAACTCGGACTGATGTACGTACGTACGAAGTTCTGTGTTGTGATTGACTGGCTGACTAACTGAAGGAGTGGTAAAATTATACGGGGATAGTGAATATTCGAAGCAGAGACGGTCTAGATTTAAGATTTCGAGTTATTTTAACAGTTGTCTTTACATATTGCTTCTAATTGTGTTGTAGAAAATTGACAGCTTGTTGCCGTGTTTTTAGTCTGACTACTCCAAAATTCCTATTACGTATATCCTATTCAGATACAGTCGTCACATAATCCTGTTCGAACGTTTCCATTTTTGGATGTATAAAACATAACTAAATTATTATCAACATTGTCAGTAAGATTGTTGCTGTTCTGATCAGATTATGCCAATCGTCTAAAACTGCAAGAGAAACAGTTTTTTTCATAGTTGAAATCATGAGTCAATTGAAGCTAGACCACCATCGAAAACCTGGAAGCACTAGACGGCTGTTTCGTCCTATTATAGGACTCCTTAGCAGTGCGCACCTACGATCTCTTACTCGCGAGATTCGAACGCAGGACCTACCAGTCTGGAAACAGTTTCTTGTAGAAACGCATCAACAATGAAAGTAAAAACCAACCAACCAAACAATCATACCCTAAGAAATGTTAACTACAAGCTTTAGTTCTGTAATTGAATTTGAATATGAGTTTTTAGTCAATCGTGGATAAAACCTTCAACCTAATATGAAAGTTTCTTTTCAAGTTGTAACATGTCACAATAGTAAATAAATACTGAGTAAACATTATTGAAAAAAGAGGAAATATGATAGGTTATCTGTTGTATACTCATGTTGTGTAGCACATGACTTTTGTAAATATTGTAGATCGTTTTCACTTCAAGTAATAATAACCTGATCTACAGAGTTACATTATTAACACCTATTAGTTGACAATGCACCCTGGCTTAATGGTACTTACCCTAAACTTCAGCGGTTATTATTTTCTTGACCTGGGTACCTAGCCTATCGTATGCCCTGATGGTGTTCTCGTGACTTTTGGGTTGCCTGATCTACCAAGGGCAATGGGACAGTGCATGACAGTATTGTTGTGTGCTAGGTTCAAAGAGAATTGTTTGCTATATGCATGCAAGTCCGCCCTGTTATTGTTCCTATGAGCCTTCCCACAAGGAGGGTGGAGTTAGGGAACGTCGACCCTAAAAATGCACACCTCGCCTTATCCAACGGATTTCCGTCTCCGGCGGTAAGATCTTTTGAAGAACGGAGCTAACACGTAAAAAATCCCTCTCAAGAAGGCCGTGCGTGACCGGGCTGAAGAAGTTGTCCCTTGGGCAGTGCGGTCACGCTCCCAGGTCGTTAATACCAACAGTAACCCAATTTCCTTTTCAGGTCCCTCAAGAAATACCCTTCCACGGTGTGGGCAGCCGGGAAGTGATTTATTTATTTATTCAATCATGTGTTAACTTGGATCGACTCATATCCAAAGCTCCATTTATTTATTCATTTATTTAATCACATATATATTGGTACAAAGGGCACCGGATACATATGCGCCACACAAAATAATGAGAATAGGAGGAGAAAGGGGGGAAGATGCGTATATATAAAAGAAGGAAAAAAAGAAAAAGAGAAGAGTAATGATGGTGGGAACTGAAATGTACAACCATAAGAGCTCCCCAGTTAAGGAAGTTATGACCAGTCTTTATGAAGAAAGTAAACGAAGGTTGCAGCAGGATCGCCACTGGCTTCTATTAGGAGCCATATCTGATAACGTCTCTAGCCATTGTGTTGCACCATATCTCGGACCCCATCCAGGGAGTCATGAAGGACCAGCAGAAGCTTGCCCTTTGCAGCTTTCTTTCATACCACGACACCATGTCATACACTGACCTCCTCTCCGCTTTTTCCAACCAGTCCCAGGGTCGGCAAATAATGCACGACGTGGAAGTCTCCGGGACGACATTCGTAAAACATGTCCAAGCCACCGAAGTCGGTGTTTCAAGATGGTGACACCAATTGAATTATCGTCTCTGCACCCGAACACACGATGCCGAACCTTCGCATTACTAACACGATGTTGACACTGGATGTCAGCAATCCTTTGGAGACAATGATGATCGAACACAGAGAGTCGTCTAACATTCTTAACTCGGAGAGGCCAGGTTTCACAAGCATAGAGCAAATCTGCTCTCATCGACGCGTTGTAGATCCGACCTTTTACAGCCAGACTAACATCATGAAGACGCCAAAGATGGCCCAGATTGGCATAAGCCGATCTGGTTTTCCTTATACGTGCATCAATCTCATCACTCACGCCACCACCAGCACTTATGTAGCTACCTAGATACACGAACTTCTCAACTACTTCGATCTGCTCACCATCCAGAGTGAGTACAGGATTAGAATCCTGCCAGTCTTGTAGGAACACTTTGCAGTGGCATTACTTAGTGCTCATACCCGTTACTGCACACGAAACGAAGTTGGTCACATTCAATTTCTTCCTACACCCGACTGAGACTATATGGCAATGAATTATTATATTGCTGATCATATTCCTTTTTTATATTAGCTTCTTAACTTGTTGTATAATCATGTTTCTTCTCTTCTTTTTTTCTTGTATTTGTTTTGGCTCATATATACGATTAGCATGAACCAGGCAGATTGTCTGAAATTCGAATTTGTTTAAATCCATCATTAGAATTCATTGATTGTCCTATATCATCAGCAAACAAAATTAATGATCAACAATTTTCAAATCATTTTTATAAAACTATTTATAGTCATTCTGTATGCAAATCCTTGTTACCATGGTTATATCAATCTCCAATTTGTTTAAATCAACCATCTACTAAATTATCAAACAATGTACCATGTCCAGAAGAGTTAATATTTCCAAAATTTAATTAAAGAAAAAGTAAATATTCATTTTCTTAAAATGTTCTATTCATCTAATTGTATTCAATCCATGGTATATATATATATATATATATATGTAGATAATTTGTTCCCCCTTACCCTAGTTACTACACCTTTTGTTGCCATGGCATTTATCATTATCATTCAGTTTTTATTTATGTATTCTGTTATGTAATGAGAAAAATTGTTGGTTTGTTTGTTGTTGTTTTTTGTGTGTGTATTATTTAAACCCCCCAAAAAAATAATGACAATTTTAATAGTTGAAATTATCAGTCACTTGAAGTTAGATAGATACCACCATGGAAGAATCCAAATGTTCCATGGTGATATCTAGCTACATGATCTCCCTTTTATAATAATAAACAAATTGTTTTGTATTAGATCAATTCATTATTTTATGTTGTTTTTATTTAAACTACCTTTTTGTAAACAAAACTTTATCCGTTTTTATCATAATTTATATAATGTGTCAAATGAATGGAATAGACTTTGTTTGTTTTATATTTGAAAAATACATTTTAACTTTTGTATATCTGGTTAATATTACAGCTTATATACAAAAATAAGTAACGCTTGTGTAAAGCATATGTGTTTGGTGTTTCTTTGTATCTATTATATCTAGAGCTTTAGATGTCCCAAAATGCCCTGGTACGGCTGAGAGTGGAGAGAGTTCGCTCTCTCTTCAAATGCTCTCACATGGCCATGCATATATAGCCTCTGTCAGGGAAGTCCTACTCACTGCCTTCTCGTGGCAGGGGTGTTAAACAGTCAGCATAGAGTTAAAATATATTATACAAAACCATAGAATTAAAGTTGATACACACATCAACTCTGGGATGTCGGTACATCCATTATAAATTTTTGCTTACAATGCTTGTCAATTGAGGCAATATCGAGGCAATTCGCACAGTATGCACATATGCAATAACACACTGATCAAATGCAGTGCTAAACATCAATGAAAACATTCAAGTAAACAATATCAAGTGAATCCAAAGAATATGAAAAGAGACTAACGAACTGACTGTTCAGTGACATCTCTAAGGTTTTTTATCACTCGATGGTGTAGTGAGACAAATCTGTGACAGTAAACAGTGGAATAAATACATTTGATATACTTCATAAGTTGATTCATAGAACAAAACACTTAGTATTTAATCGAATATATAGCTAAAATCATGGTACTATTTAAGTGAGTGCCATCTAGGTTAGTTAAAATCACGAATAAACGTTATCGATATAAAGAATGTTAGCTTTGAGTAGTTGAAAGCGTGAGTCAATTGAAGCTAGACCACCAGGGAAAACCTGGAAGCACTGGACGGCCGTTTCGTTCTATTGTGGGACTCCTCAGCAGTGCGCATCCACGACCTAACCTTGCGAGATTCGAACCCAGAACGAAAATTAATAGTGGTATGGCAAACTACTAAAGACTGTTTTATAAGTCGATTAAGATGAACTGATACTGTTATTTTATATGAATAAATGGTGATTTGATATTGATTTTCATATCTTAACTTTTGTAAGATGAACCTTCTTCTGGAATCGATAACCATATTACTGATAACAAGACAGTATGCAAAAATCGATATTTCAGGTTGACTGAATATATACAATTATGTATGCATAAACAGTAATTATATCAAAGTATTGTAGTAGGCATGGAGTTGACTATGACCATGACTGTGGACTAATTACGTGCCAGTTGCTACGTTAAACCCATCCGAAGGCCAAATGTCAGAAAGCAGTTAAAGGTTGTAGTAAGATGTATTTGTTGGCAACCTCGTGGTATCGAAATAATACCGAGATCGTGCCAAAATCCACAAGCGAGACTACTGAGCATACACGAGTTCGTACAAGGTAAAAAAGCAACGAAAGAGTGTTTTTTTGGTGCACTTAAACAAATAGGTACAGTAAAACAATCACTAGTTCAATTCGTTATGATAATAGCTGTTTCTGTTATACCAATCGTGTTCTCATCATAAAAGTAGGTCATTACAATATCTTCATCAACCTAACTACTGAATTGGCGTTACACAATTTATTGCATACAAGACAGTACACAGAAGTCATTCGACTAATGGAAGTTAGTTTATGAATCATTAGAAGACAACAGTAAATTCTAGTAAAATAATCTGTTAAATATAGCACTGTTATTATCATATTCACTACAGACGATACATTGAGCCAGTCAAAAAAGTGGCTAAATTATATGTACTTACGAATAAGTAAGAAATAGCTTTCTTTTTAAAGTTTAATATTCCAATATGTATATTGAGATTATGAACTGTCTGTTGTTAGACAATTATTGTATATCTGGAAGCACTGGATGACCGTTTCGTCCTAGTGTGGGGCTCCTCAGCAGTGCTCACCGACGACTCTCCTCGCGGAATACGAAGCCAGTATCTCCGGTCTCGCGCGTGAACGCTTAACCTCTAGATGACTGAGTCGGCGATCAACGGTGTTTATGTCTCATTTCGACCAACCTACGAAATTGCGCCATCGTCCACCATTGTATTCATATAAATAAATGGTTTTCTAATAATCTACTCTGCAGCACCATGACAATAATTCAATGACTAATGTTTTCATCGTTCATTAATTTAAATCTCTCTGTCTGTTCAATAATTCAATAGGATGAAACGGCCGTCCAGGTTTTTCATTGTGGTTCAGCTTCAAGTGATTCATGATCTCAACTATTAAAATTCAAATAAACTTTATTCATTAGGTTACTGGATTATGATACCTACGAATGTATCGGGAATATATTGATATTTTTTTGTATTTTCATATTGATTACATTCAGGATTATCTTTTCTTAAAGTTTTTTTTGACCAGTGACAACCATTTGAGCTCACTTTTCTATGTATTTGATTAGTTCTTAACTATTTACTATCACATCCTTAGGTTACTTACTTATTCTTGTTACTCCTCATGAACGAACATAGACTGCGCACCGTCACTTTTGTAACACATGTATATGCAGATTTAATCATCATAAGTTTAATGTTCTTTTATACATGTGTAGTGACCTGCTTTTCTCGACAAGGACGCGATTGGTATAATAGAAACAATCATTATAATAACCAATTATACCAGCGATTGTTTTACTGTAATTGTTGTTTAACTGCATCAAAGTCACTTCTCGTTCCGCAATCCATCTTGTTGGTTCGAACTTTCTGCTCTTATTACATGTAATCTTTAGTGCGTCTCGGTATTCTTTCGATACCACGAGATCGCCAATAAATATACTCTATCTAGACCAATTACAGTCTTCTGGCTTGCGAGTTATCGAAGGAACCAAGTCGTTTTTAGGCACGTAATCTTATTGTAGTAGTGATCATAGTCAAACGAGACTCGACACCATCTACATACGCTGTAATAAACTTCTAAAGTTTTCCATTTCACTATTCTGTTTCAATGAACTTCATCACAGCCTTAACACTTTTCTTATTACTAACTATTATAGTTCTAAATTTATTATTATTAAACACCAAAAAACATTTGAGAAATGGGTTGTTCTACATAATTTAAAATATCAGGTTCTTATGTCATCAATCCATGATTATTGTGTTTAAAAGACTATGGCTTATATGACTTATATAAATGACATTATCAATCTCATATTTTAAAATATAGGAATTTAAGGTCGATCAAAGATTTAAATTCACTTAACTTGTGAACTAGCGAGTATTTAAATAATCCGAAGATGTGTTCACATTTTGAATTTTGTTACTGTTACGTCCTTGAATCTACCTACCCACTTTGTGCCGAGTATGACCTGTGTAATGTAGATTAATACCTTTGACCCAGTAGGCTGACTGGCTTAACCTTGAGGCTAATATGCGTGAGTTCGAAGTGGGGGTGTAGTGGACAGAACACAACTGGGGACAATCGAATGTATTTAAGCAAAGATTACAGACTATCTCAGTAAATTCTGAAAACCATACAATGAACAGTCAATTTGCAAATTAACAACCAATTGTTTCAATCTTTACTGTTTCTTCTCTAATTCCATTGCTCATACATTTTCCAAACGATTGCGCTTCATTTCAGCTCTTTGCTCATCGGTCTTCTGCTAAAATACATTCTGTCTGACCAACACCATATACTACTTATATAGATATAAGTAGACCACACCACAGGGGTTGAGAGACGAAAACTATTCTATCCCTGATTGGCTGGAAAGCACGCGAGAGAGAGAGAGAGAAGACAAAGACAGTTGGAACACTAATCACTTTATTCCAACCTCGATCTAGCACTCGAATTTCCAATTCCGATTAGGGTGAAAGGTTACATGAATAAATAGATGAATAGGCTGACCACAACGTACAATAATTAGGAAAATACAATTATGTCCAAAACTGGGGGATTATAGTAGAAAATAGGGTACAAAAGATTACGTCTAAATGACAATAGCTTTAGAACAGAAAATGCTATGGCAATGAATTATACATCAAATGAAAGCTTATGATCTGTAGATTAGGCTAGGGACAAAAGTAAATGTTACAGTTTTACAAGCTTTGAATTAAATGATTTAACTTCCTCAAAAACAGCTTCCGTAATTTGTTAAGGCTTCTTGTTTTGCGGTTCACATCAGTTACTTTCATGGTAATTGAAGCAAGAAAGATGGTCTTTTAAACGGGAAATGAAACTTGAATAGATGTACCCGGTTTAATGACGACTTATTTAAATCCCTGCTGTAGTTCATATTTATCAATTGTAATTTAGTTGATGTTAACATATGACATTATTCTCATTATATAGTTAGCAAACACAACCAGCATACTTTCAAAGCTTTTACTTTAATGAATGTGTGAAAGATATATGAAGGAATCGGCGAGATTATAATTTATAGACGAGCCAATCGTAAGCGTTTAAGGGATTCCCAGGTCACGGCACGAATTTCAGTGCTTGATGCTCATGTACAATCGGTTCACAGGGGATTTTAGAAAAGACTTGACAATTAAGCGGCTACAACAAATGAAACTACTAAGAAGTTGCTGTACTTGTAATTACGAATATTAAATAACTTGTAGACCTTGTGCAGACTACCGTGATGTTGTCCTTCGACGTAATATATGTTGAAGGAAGACTTTTGCTAGAATAGGAACCTTTATCGCTCCATCCAGATTGAGACTGAGGCATATTATAATAACTGCCACAAACTGTATAATAAAAGCACCGGTAAAATTGGCTGCAATGATCGCAGATGTTACTAAAGTTTCGGTTGTTCAGTGATATGAGTATTGTAGGGACTTATCCATAATAAAAACCATAAACTTACACAGCCGGTGTACACACAAACAATGGTGAAGCTATGTGGTCGAGGGTGAGTGGGTTATGCATTACGATTTTGGAACCTTTGGACCTTTTTCTAACATTGACAAGTTTTTTGGATCACACAAAAGAAGTGTATCCATTTTAATTATTTGTTTTTGTACAATTTACCTTTACTCCATGCTGACTGTTTTCTGATTGGCTAACATTTATCAAGGTCACTTAAGATTCGTTCAAAGGTCGTCCATAAATTATAGTCTCGCCGAAGGAACCTGTTGCTTTATTGACTTAATTTGATATGTCCAA